ACTGTTTGTGTAAGCAGGCACACCTCAAAGTTGTCGTTGCGAATGAAATCCAGAGTATGAGTGTCTCTAATGTCGGAAAAGTCATTCAACATGTGTATATAGCACTGATTAGGTATCATAGCTAGATAGTCGAATACATATCAGATGATAAAAAAATAAAAAGCGTGAAAAACTTATTATTATCCGAGTGTGCTTTCATCATCCCACAGATACAATATCACCGCGAGAGATAGTGGTGTGTGGGTTTTACTTGATTCGAACCAGATTTCTCCTCTCTCAAGTGAGTTAGGTGTTCAAGCTACCCAAAATCTACTGGGGAGAGCGGTCCGAATGGTGTACCACTGCACATTCCGACCCTGTCGCCTTGATGCCTACTCCATTTGGGGAGGAGACACCTCAGATCACATTTCGCGCAGAGAAAAGTCAATGGATGAGGGAGGCATGTCTGGATAACTCAGGGTTTTTGAGACGTTCCCCTTGGTGGGTATTCACGAATGAGGGTTGACTAGGGGTGAAGAAAAAGCCGCCATAACTTCGCAGCAGTACTAGTCGATGAAATCCGGGGCATTGTTGCTCTACATTCGAACTGAGTTACCTGGTCTGTAGCCTATTATCGATAGTGTCGTAGCTCGATAGCTGTACAAGCAATCATAATATGATGCAAAAAACCTCTTATCCCATTCAACCGATCACCGCTACTTGCACGTTAAAGTGATCCACTCGATATGAACGCGAAAGGAAGTGCAACGCTCGCGGGCAATTCACTAATGAGCGACAGCGAATGAGCGTGTCATGGGTTTTACTCGCCGGCAAAGACGAATTCTTCACCTTCCAGTGGTGCCGGTGTAATCGCTCAGTATGCTCTGCATATCTAGGATAGCCAAGAAGAATCGCATCCGAATCGGAGTCGAAAGCAACCTCAAGCACATCTCCATTTGACGACTTCTCGAAAATACCTCTCTTACTATGCTCATCTGAGTCCTCAACCTCTTTCTAACCACGCATCATCTCGCCTCGACGACTAGTAAAGAAGTTGCTCCAATTGAAAACAGGACCTTGCCCCATTGATTTCTAGCCATCTCTCACTACATATTTACGACGCTTTTTATACCCGCAAGAAGGAAATCAAGTCGAAAAATCCAAAGCTTGGGTCTTCGCTTATGAGGGACTGATCCTCTAATGGGGTTATACATTTTGAGGAAGGACAGACAGCTGAGATATGGAGCGAGAGGAGGAACAAGTCTCTGAAGAGCATGCTGGGACCGATGTATTCGAGGGGTATTCAATTTTGGAATGTTTGTGGGCGCCAAGACCAAGATTTTGGCTAATTAGCCAGGAGGGCTTCTATTGTCGATGAGTCAACGGCACTCCCCAGCGCCCTGGACGGCACAAAAGAAGCTAGGCTAAGCTACTATACAGCAATCACGCTCTATCAAGACTTTTCTGACATTTCAGCACGACCTGCGAGAAGGAGTTGGAAGGAGGCTAGAATGGCAGAGGATGAATTTCTTGAGGTACACACAAGTCTGCAGCGCCCAGCTGGCCGGCCTCTTCGAACGCTTCAGAAGGGGCAATATGTCGTCGGATTTAGCCTTGATTTCGGTATTAGGAGAGCTCCGCACCCAGTGGTTTTTGCAATTTTTCCCGGCTGCCATACACCCGCAAATGGCCATCGTTTCGTTGGCTGGAGAGTGGAGATAATGAAGGGTTAAGGGCTCCTCTAAGTGTATGATCAAATGAGGACTTGTGAGGGGTGGTACTGTTTGAGGGGAGCTGTATGGGAGGCATAGGAGGGGATATACTACGGGTATAGGTATCCTTGGCCTGTAGGCAGAGAGGACCTGCATGTCCTACATAGTCATAGACTCAGATAGGACAACAAAATGAATTAATAATAATCATAATGGGTTTTACTCTTGGAAAGCCGCAAATATTATTACAGATGAGATAACAGGCAGAAAAAGGATTACATTTAGAAACAAACCCTCAGATATCCACCTGAACTTTAGTAGGGCCCAAAGCAGTGTTGCAGTTCAGATAAGAAGTGAGCACATTGGTCTCAATTCTTATCTGTATCGAAGGAAAGTCCCCGGAGTGATTAATCCAAAATGTCAGTGGGGATATCCGTCTCAAAATATCAAACATATGGTCTTCGCGTGTCCTCAGTGGGCAATGGGAAGGGGAGAGGTGCCTCGAAAGGCAAAAGACAGGTCATTTGCGGCAATGATGAACAGCCCAGATGACATAGAGAGAATTGCAAAATGGATCCTGGCAGACGGCTGGTTTGAACAATTCCGGCTTGCACGAGAACTAGAAATAGCATTGGACGAAAAGATGAGACGATGTGGACAAGGATAAGACGGATTTCACACAGTATAAACAGTGTAATCGCACTTCCTATAGAAAACCTCAGGAAAAAAAATAGACACGAGATAGACAGTTGTAGGGGGTTTTTACCGAATTTGGTCTCCTCCTGTGTAAATATTATGGCTAGATATACCTACATGGGCCCATAGGGTACCTGATCGGGCTAAATAAAATCAAATCAAATAGGTTTTACTCGGTAGCAGTGGCAAGGCTGACCTACGAGCCCAGCCTTGCATGTAGGTGGTATTCGACAAATATGTCTGCCTCTTGCACAAGGCACAAGGCTAAGTAAGTGCTTACATAGCCGGGTTTACAGGACTCATTTAATGTTAGTATAATCCCACTGGAACCCCTATTTTATATAGGAAAATATAGATTATTTTGTGGCAGACTTTGCGTGCAGCTTTTGTGATTCTATTCCCGCTGCAGAGCTCATGGCTGATGTGTAAGTTCCACACACACCTTGTGTTATTCTGGAAAACCTCAACATGCACTTGAATTCGGATTTTAAACTAGAGGGCCCGGGTCTTCGCGCTCATCACCTATAGGGTGACTGCAAAGCTCCTATGGAACTGGATCCTTTCCTCTCGACAGCCTGCTACGATAATCATCACCCAAGCTCTCACTTTGCGATGCATTGCCAAGTTAATCTCCACTGCAGAGCGAGTCAACTTTCTGCATGCAGCAGCGTGCCCACACAATTTTAGCGATCAATCTCTCTTCTAATCGGCCTTGTAATATTGATAAAAAAAGGACTGGGTGTTCGGGAAAATGCTTCAAATGCGTGCCAGGATAATTCTTATAGTGCTCAGCTCAATATCAAATGAGGTTTGGCCGTGATGGAGCGTTATAAATTTACCCTCCAATACTTGGGTATGAGGAGTTGCAGGCGGGGAAGCCGAGAGTATGAGGATAATTAATCCATTTATGGATCTCTCAAAAGGTGTTAGAGGCTTCTCCGTCGCCGACAACTGTGAATAGGCAAGGAAACTCGATATAGGGATGGCCCTTTGACACTGGTAGTGGATTCGCTGATATTACTTACCCTTCTTTCAACCATGAATATCTGCCCTAGGAAGCCAAAGACAAACCCCTTTATGTTTCCCAGTACGCCGTAGTCCTTCTGTACACAACCGCTGCGAGAAATGGAATCTCACTGACTTAGTCTCTTCAGAGCAGAGTGAGTGTATTGGCGACTTGGGCGGGCTAACTCCGGTGATCCGCGGATGGCGGGGCTCTCGGTACTCGCTTCAGCATCTTCTACACCCTCGCAGGCCCTTCAAAGTTGACAATTCCGTAGCTTAATCCTGTCTATCTGTCCATGCGTCTCCCACATCCTTCCCAGGCATCCGCCGGCCTAGATCAATGCATCGTGAGCGCAGACATGGGGCCCCCGCAGGCTGGCAGTTGAAACAAAGGGAAATGCGGTCGACAAACAGAGAACACCCCGATTCAGACTCGTAGACGAAGAGTAAATTGGTAAGTTTGGCCGTGACGGAGAGAGTAGCATTGCGCAATGATTGATTGTTATTGTATGGGCTAGCCTGTGGGGTATGAGAGATGAGGGACTTAGCTTCACCAAATGGATGACTAAGCCGATTTCTCATCGTCACTCCGGCGCTTCGGATACCAGGATCAATCTCTGCGTGGCAAGCCGTCGGACTGGTAAGAGACTTGTCACGGACATGACTCAGAAGAGCACTAAATCATCTTCGCAACTTCACGAGCCGAAGAAGGTAGGCGGCAATCCTACAAATGCCACAGCCAGGTGGCAGACTTTGCCATTATTGGGTCGGGTAGAATAAATTATCCAGTAGATAGTGAGGACGGGTCTTTGACACGGTTGTGCAGCTGCGCCTCTGAGGTCAGGCTTGGCCATCTTCTCGTCCCCCAAGTGCCGGGCGAAGACTTTATCCAACTGCCTTGGCGGCGGGTGAAGTTAGGCCCCACCGAAAATTCGTCCTGTAGCTAATTTTAGTTGATCGTGCTCCATTATTAAGAACCACTCGATATTACACACGAATTCACAAACAATCTCGGCCAATATGGGCTCAGTAGTATTCAAGACTTTCCCAGATATATCTAGTAGCTTTTTCCTCGCTTTTCAGGGCATGCTTCGTTGTCGTGAATACCGTCGGATCTAGAGTAGATTTAGATTTAATCATCCCAGTGCTTAAATTGCCCGCCATGTTCCTCTACGATGACTCTAAATACTACAAGCCAAATAAACTACACTATTCAACTTTGCCCCATAGCCGTCGCATCTTGGCCCAAATTCCCCACAATCAACTCGTTAGGGTGTTAAAATGGAGCATTTTAAGTTAGGTTTTCCTGCCTGTCAGAGGATCCGTTTATTTCCGGACTCAATGTATATGGACGCGTATACAAGTTGGTCTAAGAGAAATTTCATCCTTCTCATCGATGCCATGATAAGATTTCGGCTTCATACGGAAGCCGAACTAACTGCTAACCACGGCAATGAAGATTATTGGTTTAGGGGACAGATCGAGCTCGTAAGTGAGCATATATATGATGAAGCTTATGGGTTTTACCAATAATCTTTCCGAGTAATGTCTCTTTGATAAGGTAGGGAAGAGTTGGCATTAAATTCCATACTTATTTGCATCGTGGCAATGAATACGACTACTCTCACTTCTACGATCGAACTCAAAAACCTTGAGGAAAACGAAAAAGATCACCAGGGAGACGAAGCTAGATGCGAGGGTAATCTCGTACGGCAGGCTTCTGGTAAGTTTGATGCCGTATATGGAGTTGGTGGTGTAGGACACACGCAAAGGCGCCTTAAGCCCCGACATGTTGCCTTGATCGGTTTTGGAGGTGGGATTGGTTCAGGATTATTTATTGAAACAGGCTCCATGTTAAACAATGCTGGACCTGCAGGTTTACTACTGTGAGTTGCTAAGATCGGGAAGTTTCCATCTTAGAAAAAACTCATCGTGTGAAAAGATGGACATACTGACTTGGGAAAGCGTCTTTGCAACAGTTGGCGGCTTTCTTTGGTGTATTATGGAGTCCATTGGAGAAATGGTAATTCTAGTGAGCTATTGTTTTCTCACTGCAATAGATTATTCCTAACCTAGGGTAGTTTCCCACCACTGGATCATTTCCCCATCTAGCAACACGTTTCGTCGACCCAGCCTTGGGTTTCACATTAGCTATTTCATACGGCTGTTCATCCACCATAGCCATGGTTTCCGAAGTCAACAATATATCCAAGGTAGTACTAGTAAGTATTTTGTTCCCAGCCCCGAGCCTTATCTTAAAGAGTATGACCTAACACCCATTTAAAGTCATACTGGACAGACCTGAATCCTGCTTTAGTTATCTCACTAAGTCTACTATCTGTGCTTGCAATAAACCTCTTTAGCGTGCGATATTACGGTGAGGCCGAGGTTGTCAGCGCCGTCGTGAAGGGTGTTGGATTCTTAGTCTTGGTAATAGTTTCTCTGGTCATCACTCTCGGAGGAGCACCCAACTGTGACCGCATTGGATTCAAATACTGGATTGATCCGGGACCATTTGCAAAATATAATGACATCACAAAATCTAAAGGCCAGTTTTTTGGACTCTTCCGGGCATTTATTGATGCCATATTTTCTTTCATTGGAATGGAAACTGTAGTGGTAACTGCATCCGAATCTGTCAACCCGCATCGATCAATCACCAAGGCCGTGAAACGTGTCATTTACCGAATTCTCTACTTTAATGTATTGGGTGCCTTTCTTCTGGGCCTAACTATATCCTCGACTGATCCGGATCTTATTGATGATTTAGGCGAGTCTATGGCCTCGCCTTTTATTGTCGCCATGAAGAATGCCGGTGTTGAGGTTGTTCCATCGATAATCAACGTGTGTATCCTTTTCTCCGCATGGTCCTCTTGTAGTGGCTATCTCTACGTCACTGCTCGTATGATTATTGCCATGGCTGTTGACCGTCATGTACCTCAGATATTTTCAAGAGTCAGTCGTTGGGGCGTGCCATATTTTGCCGTCATGGCATCTTTCGTTTTAAGTTTATTATCATATGTTTGCCTCGCAGATAGGTCCCTAACGTGGCTAAAAGATATCAGTACTATGACAGGTCTGTTGGCGTGGATGACGCTCTGTATTTGTTTCATCAGGTATGAGCAAGCTTGCCGAGCCCAGGGGATGAATCGCAACAATCTAGACTTTAAAAGTCGATTTCAACCTTACTCTGCCTATATAGGAGCTATAGGCTGCGCCTTAATCATTTTATTGTCTGGTATCAAAGTTCTCTCTGGGAAATGGACTGCAGTAAACTTTGTTACCAATTATGCAGGCGTTATTGTCTATGTCGTTCCATTTGTTGCTAGGAAGCTCATCAAAAAGTCTGGGTTTGCTCGCTCTGCGAAACTCGATCTCTTTTCAGGTCGATTCGATTCTACTTCCGTGAATAAGACCGCAGCTCCTTCATCTTGCTGGGATAAATTTATGGAATGGCTCGTCTAGAATGATTTTTCAAAACTTTGAGATGTGACCACGTGAAGAGACCTATCCCTTGAACCATCAGAGACCAATGAGGACAAGTTTTTGAACAATCCGTAGTTTAAGCTAATAATATTAAATCAGACAGTGCACCATTTCACCACATGAACTGTTTGCCTAGGTAGTACACGGTTGGCTTGGACACTCATGCGACAACACAGGATTGCTCATACCACTCGAGCAAGATATTTTCGTAATTACATGCTGTAATTATATGTTGATCGATACAAGCTTTCCTGGGTAACTAGAAAGTTGTAAACCTCTATATGTTAGATATTCTAAGTTGTGGGATGATTGTAGTTGAGACAAGTATACTTCATGATAGTTTTAGCAGATGGAATCTGTGGCAACAGTATCACTCGCGTGATAAGAGAGTCTTTATATGTGCACAAAATACTATTAGTATATCGTGGCTGAGTGGTTGATAACGCGATGATTGATGTAAGTATTGTAATCAACGACATAGACACCCATGCTTCTGGTAAAAATTTATCATAGATGCAGAAATAAGTGATTCAAGTGGAATAGACTAGGGTCGAGTAAAATTAAAAAAGAATTAAATAGAAAAGAACAGGATGAAGAAGAGTAGAACGGATCTGAGCCACTATAGACATGGAAAACTACAGCATAAAGTGCACGTGTATAATAGGGGCGCATTTCAATACTTGAAGATCTACCAAGCATAACTATTACTCCATTACTACTCACGTCTGCCCGTGTTACCCGTTGATCGTGCATTTACTTCCTGTAAATGTTCACTCTCTCGCAACCTTGCATTCATAACATGAACAGAGCTGTTTGCTCCTAAAAAGCTGAACAGTGACCACGTATGGAAACTTGAACCAACCTCAAGGTAACACTGTCGAAATTAAACGTGCAAAAAGCCACATCTTGCGCGCAGTATATCACCGTGGGGTTTAGGTGAAGCATGATTTTATTGGTAAAATCGACTCTAACCCCAGAAAATTCCTCATTTGGTCCCACAGCGCAAGCTTGTAAATCCAAGGCTATAAGAGGAGAAATACCCATCGATATTGTACTATGAATCCTTAGAGGGAAATTTTCGAAATTTTTAACAGTTGAAGATTTAGAGTATAAACTACTTGAAGATAGCTGAATGTGTGAGGGCTGTTGGAAAATAGGCATGGGCTTGATGAGTAAGACGGCTCTAAGAGTATGAGCGTGATATATGAAAAAAATAATCATGATGTGAACTGAGAGAAAATGTGATATAATGTGGACATGATATTGAATCTGAAATCTTCTACGTGACGGGAAGGACTTGACATCTATTTATACGTGACACGGGTAGATGGGCTCTGAGAGCTCACATTGCTACATAAATGACCGGCATTAAAGCCAGAAGCGACAAAAGAAATATGAAAAAAATACAGTGAATATCTGAGTTACGGTGCCCTGCGCTGCACCCCTATCTTACAAACACATCTCCTCCCGAGTTGGAAACAATCTCAGCATGGTCACCCCCACCCTGTTCATTCTTTGGTAGACTGTAACACCTGCTTGTAGTTAAGAATTGAACGAACTTCTGCCATCCCTTCTCCCCCATCATCTCCTTGGCTACAGGTGGGGCCATTTTTCGCAGCTTCTCCAGCGTTACAAAGCAGGTCGGCACTCTAAAAAAAAGCCTGGGCATTTTCTCTCGGCCGCAAACGCATTTCAGATCTTCATGTTCGGGGTTGAAACGTCGATGGTAGCCGGCGTAGTCCCCGTGGCCTGTTCTTGCCGCAATAAGACGATGGTACGCCCATCTCGGTAGAGCCAGTTCCAGTGGCCGTTTGCAACGCATGAAGAGGTCCAGATCTTTGTATTGTTTCGGCCGATGCTTCTGCCACCAGTCCTCCGCGAGCTCTTGGCTGCGCTGTTTAACCCACCTCCCTAATGCCGCAAAGGTCAGATGTTGATTTTCTCCACTGGGCGCAGCTGAGGTTAGTGACCGGTTATTGAGAGCTCCGAAGGCTGATTTGGCCAGCCAATCGGCCTCTTCATTACCTTGGATCCCCACATGGCCAGGTATCCAGCGTATTTCCACACGCTTCTAATGTCTCGCCGATGAAAGCTTGTCCACCACCGACTGCGAGGAGTTAGATCTTCCTCTTTCGAGCGCCTGGGTGGCCGCTTGGTTGTCAAGAAGAATGCAGATCAGTAAATCTTCTCCTACATCTATTGCAGCCTTCAAGGCTTTCATGGCACCTACAACTTCTGTGTCGAATACCTCTGCTCTGGGAAGTGGACCGGAGCCACTTGCAACTAGCTTGCCTCCTTGGTATACTACATACCCCCAGGATGATTTTCCGGGACCCGATGATGATCCATCAGAGAAAGCGAAGACTGTGTTAGCTGGGCGGGAAGCTAACCACCGCTTTATGCTTCCAGACCTAGCTTCATTTTCTCGACTACATGGAATCGATACTGGGGTGCCACGTGGGTGTGACAAGATCGATGTGTGAAAGTATTGAAAGGCTATGCTGAGCTGGAATGACGTACCGTTAGGATGAAGGTGTGGAAGGAGGTAGCTATGGCTTTAAGAGAAGTAAAGTTCGTGAGTTATACTCTTAGGACTTGGATCAATGGACGAACTTGAGGATATTCCCTAGTATTCTCAAGTGTGCAAATAATATGGAGATTGTTTGAATTTCCTATTGTATGAATTGCTTGAGTAATCTACGTGACAGGACCTTCCTCTGTATACATGAACAAGGGGGTTCTGCACACTAGTGGATGTTCCAACATCTGTCCTTGTCTAACCGAGAAAGGAAGGATGTGAGAGATCCTAGCGCCAATAGATACCATTAGGAATCTATTGGGAAATACTATGTCATACCAATGAGTGATGATTTAGGTCAATCATATCCCATGGCGCATGTGCACATTATTCTAATGTGAACAGTTTATTGTAATGCAGTCATGTTACTCCCTTAATTACAACAGAAAGTACTTCAATTAATCCTTAGAATATTAAGCTAAAGAGAGAAGAAAGAGACTATGAAAGGCGGGGTATCTACCCCAAACTAAATACAAAGAACGTGGGTGACATTATAAAACTGGCAGGGAACAGAGCCTATGTGCCTCAGGCCGCCCTCATCATCAGCATTGTTACAAATTGTCACATTATCCCCCCCTCGAAAAAAGCTCGCCCTCGAGGTTTTACTCATTGGTTTGTCGTTGTCGAGATCGTCATAGTTATCTCGGCCTTGTCCCCAAGTCTTTATCCAGTCCTCCAGCTTCAATGGGGGTCCAGCTTGTTCCTTGTTTGCAAGATGGAAGTCTCTCACCTTGTGGGGAGCATACTTGAGATCGGATGCTAGATACCAAGTGAGATCAACGTCGTGGTTTAACCAAGTGACGCGATACTCCAACCTTCCATATCGGAGGCGACACGCGAGCACTTCCTCCACTTCCCATTCGTCCTCTCCAGTGATGTTGAGTGGGAAGGACACATTTTGAAATTGTCCGGGCAATGGATCGTTGCTGGCCTTACGTAGCTTTCCAGGTGGGAACACATCATAGATTTTCATGGTTTCCGGAAGGGCTAACCTGAAGGAGTTACCCACTTGGGCAGTGATGGTAAATGGCCCTTTGGTTGGGAAGTCCAACTTCTTGGAGGGACGTGTAGATGGGTAATATCTCATATCTAACCAAACCTTATCACCAATTGCGAAGTCAACTGGACGATGGTGAGCATCTACGTTGCGGCGCATGGTCTCTTGAGCTTTGACAATTTGTGATTGGGCAAAGGTCCATGCTTTTTGGAAGCGCGATGCGAGGCATTGAGCGTCGGCAAGGTTGAGTTTGTCAGTGGGTGTGGCACCAGCATGAGGACTTTTCCAGTCGAGATTATTGCGAGGGGGATATCCGTGAACAACTTCGAATGGGCTTAAACCGCCGAGGGAATTGTGGAGAAGGGTAAGTTGTGCATAATCCATCATTGGAAGGAGATCTGACCAGTTGTCATGGTAGTAGTTGACAAACGGTCTGAGTTGCTTCTGGAGGTACTGGCTGTAGATTTCGGTCTGACCGTCAGTTTGAGGATGGTCAGCTGTTGATAGCTTTATCTTTGTTCCTAGTATCCTGTTAAATTCTTCCCATAAGGAGGAGATGAATTGCGGGCCACGATCGGAGAGCATAGTAACAGGAGCGCCAAAGTATCGATAAATATGGTAAACGTAAAGCATTGCAAGTTGTCGAGAAGTGACAGTTTTGTGACAAGGAATCGAAATTGCCTGCTTGCTGAAACGGTCGATGATTACAAGAACATTGTCAAACCCGTGTCTATACTTGTTGAACGAGCAGTAATCCAAAGTGACGTGCTCCCATGGTCGAATTGGGACACCTAGAGGATGGAGAAACCCGGATTTTCGGTCGCGAGGGACAGAACTGCGGCGGCAAGTGTGGCAGTTGCGGTAGTACTGTGTGATGTATCGGGAAATTCCACGCCAAAAGTACGATTGAGAGATTAGGCATAGGGTCTTGGCGGCGCTAGGATGAGCTGTAGATATCTGATCGTGGGCTTTGCGAATGAGAAAGGTACGGAGATTTTCCGTATCAGGGACAACAAGACGTTCATCGAAAAGGAGTAGTCCTTGAAGCAGCGTAAATTTCCCAGGGCAATCAGAGAGAGCTTGAGCACGCAGTGCTTGGAGAGATGGCACGTTTCGATTTGCGCTGAGGATTTGATCAACCACACCAATAGATGGGGAGATTGGTGCGTGTAACGGCTGTTAAGCCTAGGGATTCCTGTAGCCTACGCTGGCTAGCGCAGGCAATGAATGCAAGGGAATCTTCGGGAAGGATCTTGGAATACAAGGAGCTTAGAAGATTCTCAATGAACTTTCTGGAAGCATACTGAAGGTTCATGAGGACAAAAGGTGTATCAAGAATCTTCTAGGGTATTGTCGAGGATTCCATGTTATTCCAGATATAGGGAGAACCTTACAGAAGAGGAG